ATGGAGTTCACATAGCTTTGCCCCATCATTATAATATTTTCCTTACAAATAACTCAATATTCTTGTCCCTTTCTTCATAATACCCTGAAAAAAGTATCCCTTCTCTCATCACAAGGCATTTCCTCCCTCGTGCTTTGGCTGGCACCCACTCTCACTTTCCTGGAGATTTCGTTTCCATTGTACCACTGCTCTGTCCTTCAACATCGGTCCTGTTCTCTCTACTGGATTACTCTTAGCAGCAGCGACTACTTTGAAAACATTCTCCCTTTGACAGCCATATTCTCTTCTAGCTGCCTCATTTCTCTGCAATTGTTCACAAACTTGTAAAGAGCTGCCTACACACTAATTCTACTTCCTTGCCCCCCATTCTATCTTCAGCATACTCCAATATCTACCATCCACTCCAACATACTCCAATATCTACCACTCCTTCCTTGTGAAATCTGTCTTCCAAGGTCACCAACAACCTTCATGCCATCAAATCCAATACACATTATTTCTGACCTTTATCTTCTCTGATCTCTCAAATAGTACACACATTCTGATGTCCCCTCTTTCTTGAAATATTCTCCTCTGTCTCTGTGGCAGCACAGCATCCTGGTTTTCCTCTTCCCTGATGGCTTGTTCCTTCCCAGTCCCTTTCTGTTTTTCCTGACTTCTTTGTTGGCTCCTCTTCTCTTTATATGATCCCTAAATAATGTTGTTCTTCAGGGCTTGCTTCTAGACTACCTGCTCTTTATTATGTATACTTTTTTCTTAGGTGATATCAAAGCCTCAATTTTGGGGGCTCTAAATATCCTCTATTTTCTGACAACTCTATCATCTATGTTTCCAGCTTGGGTCTCTCCTTGGGCAATAGATCTGAATGTCTAAATGTCTCTACTCCTATGCATCGCAGATATTTCAAACTTTTTTCTTTTTTTGAGACAGGGTCTTGTTCTGTCTCCCAGGCTGGAGTGCAGTGGTGTGATCTTGGCTGACTGCAGGCTGGAGTACAGTGGCGTGATCTCAGTTCACTGCAACCTCCGTCTCCCAGGCTCAAGAGATCCTCCCACCTAAGTCTCCCACGTAGTTGTGATTACAGGCATGAGCCACCACGTCCAGCTAATTTTTGTATTTTTTTATAGAGAAGGGATTTTGCTGTGTCACCCAGGCTGGTCTTGAACTCCTGGACTCAAGCAGTCCACCTGCATCAGCCTCCCAAAGTGTTGGGATTACAGGCGCGAGCCACTGTGCCAAGCCTAGATATTTCAACCTTAACGTGTTCAAAAGAGCTCTCCGTTTTCTTTGCAACACTCCCTTCCCATCTCCCTCCCCAAGTCTTCCCCATCTCAGTAAACGGCACTACTACACACATACCCTGTGACTCTGGCTAGAAACCTGTAAGTCCCTTTTGATAACTGTTTCCTTCATTCCCTAAATGTTACCCATCAGCATGTCTACTTCTACCTCTAAAGCAGACCTCAGATACAGCTAGAGTAGTTACTGTCTGTCTACGTCAGTACCACCCTGTTTGTTTTCTGTACAGCATTAACTTCCATTTGTGATTATTTGTTTACTTGTCTATTTTTTCCTGCATTAAAGTAGGATCTATGAAGGCGGATGTCATACCTTGCCTGTTTACTACTATGTTGCCAGTAGCACATGTTAGGTCCTTAATAGGTATTTATTAAATACATGAAACTCTTTCTGGAAGAAGCCACAGACACTAGACTGTTACCTTAAGGGAGAATACAGACATTTAGACAAAAAAAGGTATCGGCTGGGTGTGGTGGCTCACGCCTGTAATTCCAGCACTCTGGGAGGCTGAGGCAGGTGGATGGCTTGAGCTCAGGAGTTTGAGACCAGCCTGGGGCAACATGGTGAAACCCTATCTCTACAAAAAATACAGAAAAATTAGCTAGGTATGGTAGCATATGCCTGTGGTCCCAGTTACTCAGGAGGCTGAGGTGGGAGAACAGCTTGAGCCCAGGAGGTGGAGGTTGCAGTAAGCTATGATCATGCCACTGCATTCCAACATAGGTGACAGAGTGAGACCCCATCTCAAAAAATAAAAAGTAAAAAACAAACAAACGAAAGGTATCCTATAACATTTTGGGAACATCTCGACATGTATTCCAATATTCCCAGTTTAACCTCTGTCTTCAGATTCTTTGCCTAGGAAAGCACAAAGAAGTAAAGAAGTAAGACTGGCCGCTTATGAGCTTTCTGCAAAGAACAGGGGCCCTGCTCAGGTTGCCTGTGCTGTTTTTCTACAGTAATAAACGGAGCACTAGGTTTGGAGTGGATCAAGTCTAGAACCAAATCTCATTTCTGGCATAAGTTGTGTCTTCTCTCTCAACTGTTATTGGAAAGACAACCACGAGTGAGGATTAAATGATCACTTGTGGAGGGCCTTGCACAGTACCTGATACCTAACAGATAAAAAAAATGGGAGTGGTCAGGAAATTGAGCCCAGCCTCTCCCATTCCAAAACAGAGCAGGAGAGTTGGTAAGAATATAAATGAGCATCTGATGTAGAGCAGATGCCTTTTTAAAAAACTCTAATACATCAATAACTGCCATTCTCTTTTAGCAGCCAAGGGCAGGGATTATCTTGGCCTGACAGGTTACTGTAGAAGAGTACAAAGAGTAATGGTCTTAGAATAAGCTGATCTGAGTCTGAATCCCAACTCTACCAACTGCACCTTATGTGAATTTGTACTATTGATTTAATCTCTTAAAAAATTTTCCCTGTATGTAAAATGGAAGACTCCTAACACAGTGATGGCCCTCATGGACAAGAAGGAAACGTTACATAAATCTTAATTTTATAGATGCAAAACCAGAGGTAGGCTGTGTAGTTAAGTAATTTGGGGCTGGTGGTCATCAGACCACTATAGGTAGAGACAAACTCCGGGCTTACAGGGTAAGTTCTCACTTTCAAGTATAAAAAAAAAAGAACAAAATGTTCCCAACACTCAGACACCACATCTTCCATTCAAAGATGCTATTTATAAAAGACAAAATGGCTACTGGAGTCTTTCTGCAGACTCATGTTGGTAAAAGTGTTCTTATATAAAGCTCACATGCTACAAGGAAATTAAGGCTCTCCTATACTAACAAAGAGAGCTGGTAAGCAGTGTTGACAAAATTTCTCATTTCTGTTCTCTTCGCTCTTTCTTTGCAAATGTTCCAGGAATGTCAGCGATGCTTCCAAACTTAACATCAGCAGAAATGGCTTGGAGAGAGGGGTATATACAACAAAGACATGCATTAATCTTTTGTCTTTATTTGTTGCTCTAGTTTAAATCCTCAAATAACTGTTGGAATGTACGTTTCTGGAAAGTCTAAAGAAAAAAGCCATTGGCCATGCAGGAGTCAAAACGTATTTGTGTCTTCACTCACAAAGTCACTGGATTCTCCCAGGAAAAGAAACCAGGTTTTGTTCACTTTCTCAACCAACAAAGTTCTGCTCAAGTTCTTTGAACACTTCAAAATTCAAATCCATGATATCTTAAGAATTCAAATAATCAAAACAATGCTTCTGATTCTGTTGTTCAAGTCCAGATTTACTGTCAAGAGTAAACAAGTTCTATTCTTGTAACTGAGAGCTCTGTAGAGAGGCTCATTAGCTTTAATGACCAGATTAGAGTTTAAATGGATGAACAAGATGGGCTTGGGGGCTATTTCTTGTCTCCTGGGTTGTAAGAGCTTGAGGAAAACTGTATCCGCTAGTAATGATTTCAAATGTTAGATAGGGAGATTATCTTCTGCATAATTTATCAGACTTATTTTCTGAAAATATTCTTAAACTGATAAGGAGGTGATGATAAAGCTAAATGCAGTAGTATAATACAAACATTTTTATAGTCACCAACCTATGAAAGCTCGTCTAAGTACCCTATACATTATTTCATAATGCCACCTATTTCTATCAGCTGCTTCAACTCAGTCTTGGTGCCCAGGCTTTCTGCTATGAGGTATAGTTAGGAGAGAAAGATGAAAATAGGGCTAGACCTGCATGTGGGCTTAACCCTAAAGGAACTATTAACAATGGAACAACAGGTTCCTGAAAGACGTCATCTGGTCTGCACCAGCTATCATCTCAGTCTGAAGCTGAGCTATGTTCATGTTTTTAGACCTGTATCAGGTTGATTCCCCGCCTCTTCCCTCAAGCCCTTGATAGCTCAAAGAAATCCCTCATTAAAGTCCACATAGGAATACGGAATTTTTCTAAGGAGAAGAGTCAGAGGCATTGTTCTTAAAATGGAACTGAATGGTGGAGAATAAAATGAGACTAGGGTTCTAAAAGAGGATATGGCTGGGATCTCTGGCTCCCAGCAAGTCATATTATCACATTAAGCACTAAAACGCAATACCATACAGAAAAAGAATTTCCATCTTAAGGCAAAATTCAGCCTCTGGAAACACTCAATTCTATTTCTCTGTTAAGCAACCACCTGAGTAAACCAGTGGGTACCAACAAAAAAAACAAGAATGCAGCGAAAATGGCCAAGCCACAGATGCAGAGATGTGGATCTTTGTGAAGACCCTCACAGGCAAGACCACTGCCCTTGAGGTCGAGCCCAGTGACGCCACTGAAAATGTCAAAGTCAATATCCGAGACAAGTAAGGCATTCTACCTGACCAGCAGTGTCTGATACTTGAGAGCAAACAGCTGGAGGATGGCCACACTCTCTTAGACTGCAACATTCAGAAAGAGTCCACCCTGCACCTGATGCTACGCCTGCGAGGTGGCATCATGGAGCCTTCCCTCCGCCAGATGGCCCAGATATACAACTTCGACAAGATGATCGGCTGCAAGTGCTGCGCTTGCCTGCGCCCCTGTGCTGTCAACTGCTGCAAGTACAACCACAGCAACAAACTGTACCCCAAAAAGGTCAAATAAGGCTTTTCCTTCCCCAAAGGGCAGCCTCCTGCCCAGGCCCCATGGCACTGGGGCCTCAATTAAGTGTTCCTTTCATTTACTGGAGAAAAAAAAAAAAAAAATTGATCACCTCCATTTCATACATCGGGGGTCCAAGGATGTCTTTCAGAGCATGGAAATCAATCAAAATCGGCATTTCAGGAGGTAGGGCCAATTCAGCAGTGTCACTGATAGATTCAGGTTTTTCATCTTCCAAGATGTGTTCTCTGCAAACTAAAAGAAAAAAAAATGTATTTAGAAGTTCTAAGAGATCTGGAGGTTTGAAAATTCACTAGCAGTAAATATCAAACAAAAGCCCAGTGGACCTCAAAAGTCAGTCACCTTTAATGCATTTATCAAGGCACAAACATTCACCTATGTATCTGTGGAATGTAGGTGAAAGCATTTGTCTTTCAAGAGCTCACTGAGGGTGGTATTTGCAATTGCCTTGTTCAATTACTTTTACTTGCTTATTGTACCCATTAAAGTGTAAGTCCAGAGGGGAAACAACTTTGCCTGTCCTTTTTGACCATTATATTCTTAAGTCAAGAACAATTCCCAGCACTATTTGACTTAATGGCCTATAGAGGCCAAAGACTGAAGGGTTAAATGCAGTAGGTTACTTTGCATTCTCTGATCTAACAATTCTCTGTTAGATCTGCATAACTCAGGGCTTGTGACAAACTTTTCTTTCTTTTTTTTATTTTTTAGACAAAGTCTCGCTCTGTGGCCCAGGCTGGAGTGCACTGGCCTGATCTCAGCTCACTGCAACCTCTGCCCTCTGGGTCCAAGCGATTCTTCTGCCTTAGCCTCCTGAGTAGCTGGAACTATAGGCGCTTGCCACCACGCCCGGCTAATTTTCGTATTTTTAGTACAGACGGGGTTTTTTACCATGTTTGCCAGGCTGATCTTGAACTCCAGACCTCGTGATCCGCCGCCTGGGCCTCCCAAAGTGTTGGGATTGCAGGTGTGAGCCACTGTGCCTGGCTGACAAACTTTTCAATTTCCTCTTCAGTGGAGTCTAATCAGGTATTCTGTTTTCTCTTCCTCCGTCCCTACCTCTCTCCCTCTTCCTATCTTTCCCTTTCTCTCATTTTCTTTCTTTTTCTCTGTCTCTGTCTTTCCTTCCTTTCTGTCTTTCTCTCTCCCTACCTCTCTTTTTTTTTTTTTTTTTTTTTTTTTTTAAGACAGTGTCTAACGCAGTGGTGTGAACATAGCTCACTGAAGCCTCAGCCTCCTAGGCTCGAGTGATCCTCCCCCCTGGCCTCCCAAAGTGCTGGAGTTACAGGCATGAGTTGCTGTACCCGGTCAGGTGTCCTGTTTTCTAATGGACAACGTAACCTGAACATGACAAAACCCATATAAGCAGCGCCTCTTGTAAGCATATAGCTTAACTCTAAGGTTATCATTTTCCAATAAATAAATATAACTGGCAGTGCCAGGGTAAGAGAATATAAAGCCTGGTTTGAAATCTCTGTAATAACTGACCATCTCCTTTATCTGCCTGTAAGACCTAGATGGCTGATATCTTGTCCAAATATTGACTCATTTTGGTTTGGGCCTAGACATATAAGGAGCAGGACCCAATCGACTTATCGGACAACCTTCTGTATCAGTCTTTGTAATTCCAGTTCAAGTAAAGAAAGATATTACATAATTTGTGGCTACAAACCTAAAATAGGGAGTACAAGTTTTAAAAATGCAGGAAATACGGGGCTCTATTCGGTCTCACTCCTGGCTTTTTCTTTTAATTTGCCATAATTATTCTAGCTTCTTGTCTCATAAAGTGTTTTAAAATCTTTCTTTTATTATCTTTTTAAACACACGATTTCTTCTGAAAGTGATTGCTTTATCAACACATGCATATAATAATTACGCAGTTATCTAACAATTTCTGTCTATCTATCTATATTTTACGAGACAGAGTCTTCCTCTGTTGTCCAGGCTGCAGTGCAGTGGTGCAGTCTCTGCTCACTGCAACCTCTGCCTCCTGGGTTTGAGTGATTCTCCTGCCTCAGCCTCCCGAGTAGCTGGGACTACAGGCACACGACACCACGCCTAGCTAATGTTTGTATTTTTTTTTTTTTAAGCTGGGACTACAGGCATGTGCCACTGTGCCAGGCTAATTTTTGCATTTTTAGTGGAGATGGGATTTCACCATGTTGGTCAGGCTGGTCTCGAACTCCTGACCTCAGGTGATCTGCCCACCTCAGTCTTCCAAAGTATGGGGATTACAGGCTTGAACCACCGCGCCTGGCCTAATGTTTGTATTTTTAGTAAAGAAGGGGTTTCACCATGTTGGCCAGGCTGGTCTTGAACTCCTGACCTCAAGTGGTCCGGCTGCCTCAGCCTCCCAAAGTGCTGGGATTACAGGCATAAGCCACTGCACCTGGCAATATATCTATATATATTTATTTTAGTTTTGCTATGGTTCTTCCACTTTTTCCACTAACTCTTTTCCTTTCAAAAGTGATTACTGAATATGTTTAATACTAGTAGACCCTTATTTTATTTTTGTATTTTCTCAGACCTCATAGAGATGAACCTAACTTTAAATGCTAACAATAACTGGAGACATCCTGAGTGTCACTCAGTGATACTTCTGTGAACTTTTGGGTAAGGGAATCTCCCACTCTACTCTCCTGCTGGGTTCCAGTGGGCTCCACTTCAGGACTGAAATCATGAATGACACAGGAGAGAAAACACAACAGTTCAGATTTTCTGCCAGTGGATGGCTATGTAACAGCAAATTATGTTGAGCAAAGCGTTAAACCTCTCACTACCTCTCTCTGCAGAATAGTTGTGAGAATTAAAAAGAAAATCCTTTGTAGACTGCAAAAAACAATGCGGTATTGTATCATATATGTAAGTCTTGAGTTATATATATTCTCATAATTGTACCTCTGTAACATCACTTGGTCTTAAAAAGGTTCAGCCTGACCATGTCTTAGGATGTCTTCCCTGAGCTTTCTTTTTATTTTTTTTGTACTCAGAAAATGATTTGGTTCCAATGCACTTTCTGACTTCTTTCACAGCATTCATTTGCTTCACAAAATGTAGCAATGCCGGGTTAGTCAGCAGCTTGTGGAAATGGACGATTTTCTGCTTGCTGCTCTTTTTCTAGTGTATTCTAAGTAGTATCAATGATCAAAGGTGGGAAAGCACTCAGCCTATCAGTTTAGCTACATGCAGATCTCAGAGTGGAAAAGAAGGCAGGTGTCATTGCTTAATTAAAATTAATGCACAGAAGAAAAGCACTGCCTGTCTCAGGTTACTATACAGGTGCCAGGCAGTGGTACTCGAAAACTTCAGCCAATGCAAAAGGAGCTTACAAGTTTCTCCAGTCTGTGGTGCTTTGTGACAAGCTATTCGGAGATCTAATTACTGTCGCCGGCCTGTATTTCACGATCACAGGAGGAAGTAAAGCTCAGGGGGTGAAAGTCAATCCACAATTAGGTAACCAATGCTTTAGGACATCCAATCCTTTTCCAAGTGTAGTACTGGGTTCAGTGTTTTGAGCACTGGTGGAGTGGGGCTGGGAGAGCTATTTCTAATGCAACTAGACCTTATAATATAAAAGATGGCAATTTAGGTACAGCAGTTGTGTTATTAAAAAAATCAATAAACTGAAAAATAATCTGCACTTCAAAATGTTCCATCATTAGAATATATGCCAGAAAACTAAGGCTCCAGTCAAAAAAATGGTGCCGGCCAAATGGGAGAGTCAAGATAGCACTGGATTCTGACTCATCCCCTGGATTGCATGTAATGCAAAGTGAGAGTAGGGAAACACTCGGTCTTCCTAGAATACTCACTTTGATTCCTCATTAAAACAAACAAACAAGAAGCAAAATATCATCTCACAAAGACATCACTCAAGGAACAAACCCCCCGTTATATCTGCACCTTCTGGGTCCTATGTGCAAGCATTCAAGCACTCAGCCCTTGTACCATGTTCTCTCCCAGCACCAGGAAGACAGCAGAGTCCCTAGGATTAATTGCTAACCTTGCCCAAGATTGCAACATTCAAGCAATATGGACTTTTTAAGGCCAGGGGAAAAAAACAACAACAAAAAGTTCAACCTTCCAATGTATCAGTTCTCCAATGTATCCCTGACCCCAAGTTCTTCCTACTGGAATTGTGCAGTTTTCTTCTTATATACCTTTCTTTTGGACTAAAACAGTGGTTCTTAACAAATGGTTAATACTCATACAAAAGAAACTATTACTTCACTGAGAAGCAAAGAAATTCAAATTATAAAAACAAGCTGGTTACCAAAATAACTAGTAAAGTTTAAGAAATGACAAAGGTCAGTGTTAAAGAAAGAAAAGATATCTTCTCAAACACTGTTGCTTACAGAAGTATAAACTCGTTCAATCTTTCAGGAAAGCAACATGGAAACAGACTGAAAGGTTTCCAAATATTTACAGTCTCAGACTCA